TTGACTTTTAATTTTCTTTTGCTCAATTGGGATAGTGTTCTTGCCCTGGCGTTAATGTGAGACGTACAAGAATGAGTTCTAGCTCTGATGATGTCCATCAGATGATTGACCAAAGCTCAGCCAGTTTTGTGCCAATAAGTTCTTGGCTCACATGGGGTCGGAGGACGGTCAGCCAAGGACTTCTTCGCACAATTCAGCACAATTCCCTACTCGACAATCCTCCTTCGGTTTTCGGTGATAGGGAAGAGAATATGGGATGGATGAATTTATCAGGACAACACTTTGTTCAGCAAAGAGTTTGTCATAGGATGGTCTTCACTTGCCTTTGACGCGTTGTAGTGTGGTGCTAAAAAAGGGTAAAGCTCATTGACGATGCCGACTAAAATGTGGGAGAAATGTCTGGGAATGTACCAAGTCCACTGTCCCGCTTTCGAGGCTACCAGTAAATCAGATCACCCTATTTCGTTTAAGGTGATGAGTAAAGCTGATCTTTTCCATTGAATTTCACATAGCCTTGCTTTCCCAAACGGTTTTCTGATTCAGGCTGAAGTGGACTGCAGTTTCGACCTCGTCAAAAGAAGTAATGTTATCGTTTGCTATAGCAAATATAAGTTTACTTCATCGACAATCCCAAGACAAAATGTGATTTGGAAAATGCCTGACATTTCCCTGAAATTCACATCTTCCTCGTGACCCGAGGGCCTTCGTGGCAATGTGGCGTAACGGTTGACGTGTCGAGCCTACACCCTGCACTGTCATGGTTCGACTCCCGCTTGGGTGTCACTAAAACCTATGCGAGGTTGCAACTGCAGTCTACTCTGGATGGGAACATCTTTTTGGAAGGCAAAGCTGTGTGAGATTCAATGGAAAACATCAGCTCTACTCATGTCATTGTGGGAAAAATCAACTGCTGGTCCTTCATCACATTAAACGAAATAGGGTGAATAAAACTCATATATCCTATTTACTGGTAGTCTTTAAAACCTGTTCACTGAAGAAAACAACTGAAGGAGAATGCCTCATGGCCTGCATTAATCTGAACATCATAGTTTCGCCTAACAACAGCAGAGCAACAGTTATCCGCCGTGGTCTTTTGGTGCTATCGACTTGTGAAGCTCTTCCACTTGCCTTTTCACATGAAATAAATGCCACTGAAAGACTGAAACTACACGCTGACTTGAGAGTGAAGAGGTGGCTGGTAGTCGAGTCGGTAAAGGGACTGCAGGATTCTGGTACTTGTGCTTCCTACCACACGAAGACCCAGGTCCTTCCTGGAAGAATACTCCCGGGGTTAACAGAGCCTGGCATGTTGAACATGCTGAGCTACCCTCATGTTGCTCCGCCCGGTCTACAGGTCACTCTTCGCGATGCCGCTCATCTTGTAACAACTCCACAAATCAAACAATAACTTCACTTCATCGTGAAC